GTCGGGTCGAAACTATTTCGCGTTCCCTCCCTTCAGCCTTCTAACAGCTCTAGTAAATTTTGTGATGCAACAGAAGGCGAGGGTGATGATGGTGGTACCGGACAGGTTCCCCAAGGGCTACTGGTAACAAATTGTGGAAAGGGTGCGGGTAGCATGTGCGGGTTAACCAGTGCTATACTCACCGAGGAGAAGTGGTGGTTGGCAGGTATGGCCAACGGAGCACGAACTAGGGCCGATTCTCCTTGCGGAGACCGATAAGACAGAAATGTAAGGGATAACTCAGGCAACTAACTAGACCAGCAAGCGAATGAGACTCTTAACCGGCCTGTCCGTCTGGGTTTCGGACCATGGCAGAAACTCCAAGGGAACCGCCGATAGAATTAAAGCTCAACTCCCAAACAGGGGCGGTTGCAGGTCTCCAACCTCAGTCGACAATTTTTCCCTACAATAGTCAAGGCGAGGAATTCACTAGCACCCCAGGTTGCTCGGGGTTCAGCGGGGTCCCAAGGTTATGGCTCCCGGTAGTAAAACGGGTAGGGTGCGGCTACCCTAATGATTTGGATTTCAATTTCTGCCAGCGAGGTGGAATGGCATAAGTTCAGGAGGCACCGGCGTTAATGCTTAGGGGCGCGGATGGATCACGCCGCTGTCGATAGCAGGTTGTAAGAACTCCTGGGAGAACAAAAACACTCCGCCTATATCAGGCAAAGTCGGCTTTAAGCGACTTGTTAAAGAACTTCCTCAGAACCTTAATCCCACTTAAGACCCTTGACACGGTAGCTCCGGTAGACGCTGTCAAGTTCTTTATCGGGAAAGACTAGAAAGGGAAGATGAAAGTCCACGAGGCAGGTCGTAGGGCCGGCAAAGAGGAGTGTAAATACCAGTGTCACGTGTGGGCTAGTGTTTAAAACGGTTAACACATATGTGGGCAAGCTTAGCAATTCTCAACGACTTGGGTAGGGGGAGCGGATGGGACAGCGATTGGAAGATGGGAACCCGGCAAGGGGGAAGGTGGTTAAGCAATACCCGGCGTCAGTGACAGCGGAGCAGTTGAGACAGCGATCGACTCCGCAACAAGTAGCACAGGTTTGCGAAGCCATCCCAGAGAAAATAACTTCCGGAAAATCGGCGACAAGGATGTTCACAATGACAGGGATTAAGTCATCTTCAAGGTGACGTTTTTCTCGGGTGACCGCTTGGCTGACCTCTTGGGGACCNAATTTTGTGATGCAACAGAAGGCGAGGGTGATGATGGTGGTACCGGACAGGTTCCCCAAGGGCTACTGGTAACAAATTGTGGAAAGGGTGCGGGTAGCATGTGCGGGTTAACCAGTGCTATACTCACCAAGGAGAAGTGGTGGTTGGCAGGTATGGCCAACGGAGCACGAACTAGGGCCGATTCTCCTTGCGGAGACCGATAAGACAGAAATGTAAGGGATGACTCAGGCAACTAACTAGACCAGCAAGCGAATGAGACTCTTAACCGGCCTGTCCGTCTGGGTTTCGGACCATGGCAGAAACTCCAAGGGAACCGCCGATAGAATTAAAGCTCAACTCCCAAACAGGGGCGGTTGCAGGTCTCCAACCTCAGTCGACAATTTTTCCCTACAATAGTCAAGGCGAGGAATTCACTAGCACCCCAGGTTGCTCGGGGTTCAGCGGGGTCCCAAGGTTATGGCTCCCGGTAGTAAAACGGGTAGGGTGCGGCTACCCTAATGATTTGGATTTCAATTTCTGCCAGCGAGGTGGAATGGCATAAGTTCAGGAGGCACCGGCGTTAATGCTTAGGGGCGCGGATGGATCACGCCGCTGTCGATAGCAGGTTGTAAGAACTCCTGGGAGAACAAAAACACTCCGCCTATATCAGGCAAAGTCGGCTTTAAGCGACTTGTTAAAGAACTTCCTCAGAACCTTAATCCCACTTAAGACCCTTGACACGGTAGCTCCGGTAGACGCTGTCAAGTTCTTTATCGGGAAAGACTAGAAAGGGAAGACGAAAGTCCACGAGGCAGGTCGAGGGGCCGGCAAAGAGGAGTGTAAATGCCCGTGTCACGTGTGGGCTAGTGTTAAAACGGTTAACACATATGTGGGCAAGCTTAGCAATTCTCAACGACTTGGGTAGGGGGAGCGAATGGGACAGCGATTGGAAGATGGGAACCCGGCAAGGGGGAAGGTGGTTAAGCAATACCCGGCGTCAGTGACAGCGGAGCAGTTGAGACAGCGATCGACTCCGCAACAAGTAGCACAGGTTTGCGAAGCCATCCCAGAGAAAATAACTTCCGGAAAATCGGCGACAAGGATGTTCACAATGACAGGGATTAAGTCATCTTCAAGGTGACCTTTTTCTCGGGTGACCGCTTGGCTGACCTCTTGGGGACCAGAACAGCAGAGGTGTCAAGATTACCGTAAGGCGCACTGGTAATGAACCATGTGTGGGGGAAAACCTTGCGAGATGGCCGGCACAATGGTTCGTCTTAGAGAAGACAGGTGACAGCTCCGTGGGCCCAGGAGAGGCAATCGGCTGGTCAATCAATCAATCCTCCGCAGGCGTCATGGTCTGACGCATAGCGGCTACAGTCCCGCAAAGGTCCCGCCAAGATGATCTGTTCTCGGCCCAGACCCTCCAGTCGTCTCTGACACCCAGCTCCCAAAAGTGTGGGGAAGAGCTGGTCTTCCCATCTTGCCCTAGGGCGGCCCCTTGGACGTCTCCAGGTTGGGTTAGGTTGTGAGGTCAACAGTTTGATGACGTCCTGGGTAGGAACAGCTCGAGAGGCATGCCCCAACAAGGCCATCTGCTGCTTGACGATCCTGCGTGTTACAAGTGGCTGGTTTGTCCTAAGACGGACTGTTTCATTGGAAATGAAGTCGTGCCAGCAGATACCCTCTATCTTTCTCAGACACTGTGAATCAAAAGCATCCAGTTTCTGAGCAAGTGACTTTGTAATAGTCCATGACTCTGCGCCATACAGAAGAACAGACAGGACCAGAGTGTTGTATGTCCTTAACTTGGTTGTTCTAGCCAGGTGTTTGGAACGCCACACACGACTGAGATTTGCAAAGGCTGCTGAAGCTATTCCCAACCTGCGCTTAACATCTTGGTCAGATTTACAGTCTGATGTGATGAGACTACCAAGGTAGGTGAAGCACTTAACAACCTCGACCGACTCTCTTCTGGTGGCAGGGCATACTGGTTGGTCCAAGAAGTCACTGAGCGACTGGAGCTTTAAATTTGTCTTCAGCCAACTGACCTCAAGACCCAAACCCTGGCTCTCTACAGAGAAGATCTCGAGTGTGCTCACAAGGGCTTCGAATAGTTCAGCGAGAAGTGCCACATCGTCGGCATAATCCATGTCAGAAAAGTGATGGATCATGTGGGGTGATGCACAAAATGGACGGCAGCCCACTATACTACATGGACTGGGTAGGGTAATGAAGCTTGGGGAGGCAACATCGAGACTAGCGGCGGAAGAGGTAAAGCAGCCCGTAAAAATGTAGGAAAGAAATAACGTGCTACTGGGAATAAACAAAACCTTTTAGAGTAACCCCATCTGAAGAAGACGTCGGATATGGTAGGCGAAGGGACAAGCGAGCTAGACGAAGGACGATTGTTTCTTTCCTGTATGTTATATAACAACGGGGTCTCGAGATCGGGCAAGTAATTAAGAGGGAACGGGTGACCTAATAAACGTCCTCTTGTTTACTACGGTTCTGCCTCTGTCTCTTCTTTCCACTATGGGCTCGATAGTATGAACGGTAAACAGTCACACATGCAAGAGCCAGAAAAACGGGGAATAGGAGTGGGGGGAGATGAGAGAGGGGATATATCTTCGAACGAAGTTTTGGGGATAATGAGAGTGGGGTATACTTTCAGTCGAAAGTATTGAGATGAAGTAAGGGGTAGGCTTTCTAGCGAAAGCTTGGTTTAGTAAGGAAGAAGGGCGCGCCTCCAGGAGTTAGCGTAAAGGGGAACTCCCTACGCTAACTACGGGGACAAACGCAAATGATGGCGCGACGTAGGCACTGTCCCATAACTCATGCAGGATGATCCAATGATTGTGCAGTGTGGATAGTAACCTATCTTCACTGCACTGTGATTGGTCATCCGAAATGACGTCACCAATCAACCCCTTATAAGGCGCGCGCGCACTCCATTCTGCCCTTTCATTCGGAGACATCCGCAACCCCGAAGAAGCAAGGTGGGACCGACCCGGCAGTTGAGGCAGGAGGGTGGATGGGGGAAGCTTTAAGAGGAAAGGCATTTCCCTTCATTTTTTTGACCCACCCACCCACCCAGATCCAGTGAAACTGCTCACCTGCGGGGACTCGGTTCACACCGCGCGACTTCGGCACTGTCCCATAACTCATGCAGGATGATCCAATGATTGTGCAGTGTGGATAGTAACCAAATTATGCATCCTTGGTTCTAATTTGCATACGGCATTTCATAATTCTAATGTTTTTATTATGGAACTTGATACAAGCGACATATTGGTAGAACGTTACCTGATATCCATTATTGCTAATAGGGCCTCATTTGCATAATTCTTGGGAAAATTCCTTAGAAGTACATGTAAATGATGAAATGTTGTGCTTTCATGACAAATGCATGGACTAAATAAATGCGGACGCTATTTATATAGCTAATGAGAACACATTGAAATTACGCGAAAGGGTAGGACGTTCTAAATCACAACTTCGAAAGAGAACACTTTCAATGGTAATAGATTATTCTAAAAAGAACGTCATCTGCATAAGTAATGAGACAAAAAACAAAGCAAATTAGACAAGAAATTTATTCAATACATTCCACAGAGGTGTGTCATCTTCAAACTCTTGTTATCGTAGTCATGGTATAGGTTAGTGTTCAGAGAATGTCTGGTGCTTCCTTCAGCAACAGCTATATCTACGGAATATCATCTGCACCGTCATATGCAAATGTTATTCGGTGTCATTAACCTTGTGGAGGTAAAATCATAGTTTTCTTTATCTTGGAAATGCAGATCCAAATTCCTTTGACTCCATTGGCGACATCTTACCAAGGCTTAGTCAAGTTTGGGACGGATTACAGCTCACTACGTCCTCCAACAACAAGTCCAAACACATTTTGGACCGATTCAAGACATCCAATGCTACACGCGGCAGGGTGCTCGACCTCGGCTTTGCCGGTGGACTGGACCTGTACTTCCTGTTTGATGCCTCTGGCAGTGTTGGTACGGACAACTTCAGGATCGGGCTGAACTTTGCCAAGGCGTTAGTCAAGAAGGTAAGAACAGTAACCAGATAAGGAGACGAGAAACACAAATTTAAGCTAAGATAGAAGAAGAAGATCTTGATTGCACCACAATTGCAATGTATAGCAACAACTATTGAACAAAGTACAAAAAGTATAGAATAAGACCTAATATATAATAAAACCTTATGAATCCTAATTACTCAAACAACAAGGGCTAGCACAAGTCTGTTTTTGATTTAATGTTACAATCATGTGGGGCTAATCTTGACTTTCGGTTTTTTTCTAGTAATAAAGCAGTCTTTTATATATTTATCTATTTTTGTATTGTGGGAATTATTGCGGGAATATCTGTCCCTAACACTTAGTCTCTGGAAATCTGTTGTACTTCATTCAAGAAGTGTGAATAGCTTTTTACGTAACATTATATTTAGTGCATTCCAAAACAAAGTGGAATTCATCTTTGATGCTGTGTCTTACTCAAGTCGTTAACATTTTTCTGGTTCATCCCTAAGCAGACATTTTTAGTATCTGGTTTGGAATAAAAGTTGCGACTGCTTCATTTTCATCCAGGTTGGAGTGTCTGCTGAGCCGGGTGGTACCAGGGTTGGAGCCTTTACGTTTGCATCAGATGTCACCCCACACTTCCGTCCTCACGACCCTCTGGTAACCACCGAGCAAGTTGTGGATGCTATAGAGCAGATTCCGTATACAAGTAAGACATCCAAGAGACATGCATTCCTATACGGCAACTGTTGTTGAGTAACGTATGTCCCTCCTGTTAGTTATACAATTTTGTACGTAACTCCTGCAAGTGCATTTAGCCTAGTGATTGTATCTGACATTTTTGACAGTGAACTATGACATGTAGTTTCGAATTGATGTGCTACCTTACCGGTATGTTCATCACCATATCAACCATAGCAATCTGTTAAGTTGTATTCTGTCCAAATCACGATGATTACCAAGACAGAGTTGACCAGCTGAAGTTCTTAGTTTTGACTCTCTGTGAGAATATGGACGTTTCTATCTCTATTTCAGAGGGAGGCACAGCAACGCGGCTGGCACTGAAGTTTTTGCGAGAAAGTGTCATTCCGGAGGCAGTCGCTGAGTTGGACCGTCCAGATGAGTCTAAGAAAGCACTTTTCCTCATAACCGATGGTAAGGATAATATCATTCTTATATCTCATGCATACTACTACGATCTCAACTTGTAGAGCTTTTGACTAATTACCTGCAATTTCTCTGATTAATTCTAAAATTCTATTCTTATATGACAACGTATGAACCTTTCTAAGATTCATATGTTGTACAAGATTCAGTTAATAATATGTCAAAAATTAATCCCTGTGTGTGTGCGTGTGTGTGTGTGTGTGTGTGTGTGTGTGTGTCTGTCTGTCTGTGTGTGTGGGGGGGTGTTTGTGTGTGTGTGTGTGTGTGTGTGCGTGCGTGCGTGTATGCGTGTGAAAACTATTATGACAAGAATTTTTTGGCGTAAGCCAACATTCTTTGTGGAAAACATGACAAGAAAACTACTTATTATCAATTCCAGGTAAGTCAAACACAGGTGGAGACCCAAGCAAAGAGGCTGAGAGGCTGAGAGAGGAACTAGGACTAGACATCTACACCATCGGTATCAGCAACGACGTCAGCAAGACTGAGCTAGCCTCCGTTGCATCCAGTCCCAAGAGGGAGCACATGTTTACTCTGAAGGACTATTTCCGTCTTGAGTGGCTAATAGATGCTTTGACCAACCATTCCGTAGGTGAGTATGATTTCGTGATGATGTTGACACTAATAATCAAGCTATAAATAAGCAGATGCATTCACTACTTTGATGTTACACAAAAAAAAAAACAGTTGCTCAGGCAACTGGATCTGATTTTGGAAACGGTCAGACCTTTCGTCCGTGACACTGGAGAGTTACCATTAATTATGTCACCAGTATCTTACCGTGATGCTATTACGGTGAAACACTTACACGTAATAAACTCAACCGCTGTAGGAACAAATATGCCAAATTTGAATTTCACATTTTCCTGAATCACACTTCAGACTATTCCAAGTGTGGGCAAGCTGGCAACACTAAAGCTGAGTCCAGGGCCCGGATTGTGGGTGGGCAGGATGCAAATGAAGGTGCCTGGCCATGGCAAGCAGCTATTTACTACAGGAGAGGAAGCGTAAGGAACTTTAGACTTCTCAATGAAATGCCTTTAATATGATTTCCTGGGATTTCCTCGACCTAAGAAACATGTCTCAAACAACTTCGAAACTCACTCACTCACTCACTTACAACTCTTTACAAGCCACGTTGTACCTCCTTTGCTGTGACTCACAATAAGCAAGGTCATAAAATATATTTTAGATTGTTCTATTATATTTGCTGAATATCTCAATCTAATATTTGCTGAATGTTTCAATATCTAGCGTGAGCTGTTTTTGTGCGGTGGATCACTGATCGCGCCTGACTGGGTGCTGACGGCTGCACACTGCTTCTTCAACGCGATAGGGCTACGATTGGACGACACAAAAATCATCATCAAACTAGGTATGGGAGACATTTATAACATTTTCTTACCACTTCACCGAGACCTCATACTTTCAAATGGGTGTGGGGGATTAATTAAACTTAGTCAAATGGATAATGGCATTTATCTAAATGATTAAGGTTCTGCTAGGAAGCCTCACAGCACAGTCGCATTCACAGGATGTGACAGAACCATTGCAACCACCAACAAGACAAGCCGTCCTTTCTGTAACAAGACCGCTGAATTTTTGCATGCATGAATCATGATCACAAGAATGCATTTAGTGTGCAATTATTTGGCAATTGTATGAAGTATGCGACCGGACCATAAGGCAATATAGATATGATCATATGGATGACATATTTTAAAACCGATGGAAGTATGCGAATAAAAAAAGTTTGGAAAAAGCTGCCTTCATAATGAAATTTATGTGGTTGAAGGTTGAAGAAAATGACACCAAGATCACAAAACACACAGATTATGGTATGGCAAATAATAAACTCTTTATTTTCCTTTCTTCACATTTTCTTATTTTCATTTAGTATTGATTTTGGCCTTCAACGACATTGGTAGCGTTTTCCAATATTTTTTTTTATTTTGCAGCTGCTTTGTACGATTTACACTATTGAAACTTCATGCCATCCATGTAATCACATCAGCATGGTCATAATAATATTAGGGCCCATTTGATTAAATGAAGATGTAAAAACCAACATTGAACATGACTACATCCACTGTCAAGGCATGGCAGAAAACATGGAAGTCTTGTATGTTACTATGACTGTCTTCACAATGTAAAATTATAACTTACAGGTGTGACAAACCTGGACACAGATGAATATAAACCGAAAGTACAGTACTGGGGAGAGAATGAGATCACCACATATGTACACGAGGACTACAGACAGCCTGATACAGGCACCTATGACAACGACATCGCGTTGGTGCATCTGGTGTCTCGCAGAGGTACCCTGGACCCGTATGTCCGCACGGTCTGCCTGCCCTGCTCCTGTTCTTGTACTGGGGCAGGCTGTCTACTGGACAGTCAGAACAAGCAGGAAGATTGTGTAACAGAAGGTAAATAACACAGAACTTCCCTGGGATTTTCTCATTTTTTTACTACACTTTCCCACTCTGTTTTACCTTTATAATTTATTCTAAACACCTCTCTTGCTTTTCTTTTTTATATTCAAATTAAGTCTTAAACTAGGACTCAGTGGATAACATTCAACGATTGCCACATATTAATCATTTACCCTGAATTTATTGTGATTAGCCTGGCCTTTGTACACAAAGACTTGCAAGAGAATTATGAATTAAAGACTATAACTTGCAACTATCATTCTTCTTCCTCACATTAGGAACAGAGTTGTTCAAGCGCTGTAAGTATGGAGTTGTGACAGGATGGGGACACACCAAACAAGAAGACCATAACGGGTTCAGGCCACGGGTGTCCTCTCACCTCCAGCAGGTGGAAGTCAAGCTGCGCACAGATGAAGAATGTACCAGAAACCTCCGTTTGTCCGCCAACCACTACACCAGCAGGATGTTCTGTGCTGGTAGGGAATATTTGCACAACCTTTCGCTCAAGTCTGGTACATTCAACGTACAATACAACATATAGACAATAGAAAAAAACAGTACATTGGAGACTTTGTGGGCTGGGGCTGGTAGGGTGGTTTATACCCTGTAGTCATCAGGCAGCTTGCATTGTCTATCTCCTATCATTGCACTACTCTCCAAGCAGAGGTTGTGACCTTCTTCTGTATTCTGACAACTGACCCATGCTAACAGTCATGTCTTAGGGTCCAGTCAAAAACCATCATGACCATCTACTTGGAGATAACCATTACACCAAATCACGTGTACATATTAAGAATATGAAATTGTAAACTGGCGCTCGGGACGTAAAATCAACAAATGGAAATTTTACACGAATTGAGTTACGTACTGATTATACAAGATGTTAGATAAATACTATGTTTCCACTGTTTGTTGTGTTCAGGAGACCCTGAGGACCAGCAGGATGCCTGTAAGGGTGACTCCGGAGGTCCGTTCATGTGTGAAGTGGAGAAGGAGGACAAGACCAGGTGCTGGGTACAGCTGGGAATCGTGTCCTGGGGAGACGGCTGCGCGGCTGAAGGACGTTATGGCTACTACACACATCTTCCCAAACTCATGCCATGGGTTAAGGATATTGTAGCAAGACATGGATTCAACTAAGCAACATAATGGGTTGGTTGAGGTAGAACACATTTGGTTGCAGGCACATTCTATCCACCCATGAACGGAGTTGCTTTGAGGGTACTTTAAGAGTTTGACATAATACTGAATGCTTTTCAGTACTGTGAAGTACACGTAGTATACAATTTTAAGATTATCATCTATTGCAAAATAATACCCTCCTCCCTGTCAATTCTCCATGGTATCCTTATACAATAGATGTCCTTGTGCAATAGAGCAAATTATGATCTTATATTTACGACTTTATGATACACGTATCACATAAGAAGTAGCTAGCTGTGGTACATTTTGAACCTGAATTGTGCAACTGTCACAAGATATACGGATACAGAAGTGACATTTTAGTTTTAGGAATTACATGTTTATCTACGTACAGGTGCGACGAGCTAAGAAAAATCATGTAACTAGGCTGAAAAAATATTTTATCACGTTCATTTCAATGCCCAATGAAATAAACAACTTTCTTGTTTTGTAGTGCAAAGTCTTCCTTTTAATGTTTAAAAACTGGATGGATTCTCAGCTGCTCAGAATGGCAAGTTAACATCGGATACACCAGGGCAGATATAATTTGTTGATGACTAAACTAACAAAAATAAACAACTAACTACATAATGAAGCTTAAACACCATTTCTCAACCACATTAGATATTAAAGAAATACTCCACTCCATCAGATATTGATATTAATTCGTTAAAAAGTTAATTGTGATTATTGAATCAGGTTTGCTTTGTCAAGTTGATTAACCGTTATTTTAGAGCCTGAACGCAGCAAGAACAATGTAGCAATGGAGGTCCGATCTTTCTAACAATCTAAGAGTTGAATGTACCTTGTGCATCTCGGGGACAGACTTTCAAGTGCTGAAAACGTTGTATTCTGAGGGTATGTAGTCCTCAGTCTTTTTAAATATATGCTTTATAATCAATAGTTCTGGATATGGGGATGATTCTCTCGAGTTAAATGAGGCCCGTTCTAGCCCGTAACAGCGAGAGATTGTTCACGATGGAGGCCAGGGACAAATAAATGAACAAAGAAACTCCAGCTCTTGGACAATGATGTCCTCAGCAGGGTGAAGGTTATCTGTGTGCCAGTGTTGCGCACTCGTCATTTCCCAAGCATCCACAAGAACAACGTTTAACCCACGAAACGTTTCCCGCATTACCATGTCCAACCTATGCGCTAGCCAGTCTCCTTCATACAGCATATTGCCAGTGTTCGTGTTGGCAGATTTGATGACCACAAGAGTCTCTGGGCTTCTTTGGAGCAAACGTTCTATCGCAGCACGTACAGCCTTGATTCTTTCTCTGTAAACATTTACAGGGAAGGAAGTGAAGTGTGCCCAGATTGTTATACCTACCACATCGCCCGGTCCGCCACTCAGTTCATCAAGGGCGTTGGCAAGATATTTGATGTGAAACTCTTGAGTCCAGCCAAAACGAAGAGGCGGTCCGTGGATTTGAAATTTTACCGTTATGTTGTTCAAATAATCAAGGGCAAGCAGCGGCCCTGTGTTGTGGATGACGCCAGGAAAACGTGTTTCATTCATCTCCAAAATTCGAACCAAATGTTCCCACCACTGCCGAATGGTGGAGTCACCGATGAAATGTAAAGTTTTTCCAGACAGACATTGCTGCCAGGCTGTTTTGTCAAAGAAATGTCTGTTCTTGCAGACAAGAGTGTTAACCGCCGAAATGAGTCCTTAGCATGGTTCACAGAATTTATCATAGCGCAGTCAGAATCGGGAAAGCCAGGCTAAAATATATGTCGTTGTAATCCTTATAAGTCAGGGAACCTTGGGAAGTTCACTTGAAGATCACACTTGTACACAAAAACGAGCTTTGTAGCGTCAAAGTTGACCTTTATTCGCTAGCTAAGAACTCATTTTGGCGTAGGTTTTCGAACTGTATGGGGGTTTCCGTGATACCGCTAATCCCATCTACTTCCGGGTCACGGCTTACGAGGTTCGGTTACTAGTATATTACACGCCGAAGAGCGAAGGAAACGTTGCGGAGTGAAATTTCATGAAAAAAAGCTCTTAAAAAGCCGCGCCTATAAGGTTTCGCAACTTCTTCCCATGTGTGAGACGGGTACACTGTACCAGAAATCATTTAAATAGCTAATAGAAGAGTTACCACTTGGCTCTTAAAAAGCCGCGCCAATAAGGTTTCGCAACTTCTTCCCAAAAATCCAATTACGCTTTGGCGAGTATATTAGGGTCTGCCCTCCGTGTCTATCATATAAATGATACACGTAGACGTCGGGTCGTCCTCGGAGTGCTTTATGTATCATTTCAATGATACGTGTAACTACCTAGGTTTTCCAAAGTCTGACTGACTTCCAATATAGTAACCCCACTATCATATCTACGCATGTGTGAGACGGGTACACTGTACCAGCAATCATTTAAATAGCTAATAGAAGAGTTACCACTTGGCTCTTAAAAAGCCGCGCCAATAAGGTTTCGCAACTTCTTCCCAAAAATCCAATTACGCTTTGGCGAGTATATTAGGGTCTGCCCTCCGTGTCTATCATATAAATGATACACGTAGACGTCGGGTCGTCCTCGGAGTGCTTTTTGTATCATTTCAATGATACGTGTAACTACCTAGGTTTTCCAAATTCTGACTGACTTCCAATATAGTAACCCCACTATCATATCTACGCATGTGTGAGACGATAAAAATCCCTTCACCCTTTGGCGAGTACTCTTTCTTGAAAAGGCGATTATGGTCTGCCCTCCGTGTCTATCATATAAATGATACACGCAAACGTCGGGTCGTCTTCGAAGTACCTTATGTATCATTTCAATGATACGTGTAACTACCTACTAGTAGGTTTTCCAAAGTTGGACTGACTTCCAATGTAGTAACCCCACTATCATATCTACGCATGTGCGGGACGACTAAAAAAATACCCTTCACCTTTGGTCGAGTACTCTTTCTCGCAAAGGCGATTATGGTCTGCCCTCCGTGTCTATCATATAAATGATACACGCAAAAGTCGGGTCGTC